CCGCACCATGTTCGACTTCGATGCCTTCTACCAGGCCCACTATGGGGAGCAGCTGCAGCGCGAGCGGCGCCTGCGGGCCCGGCGGGAGGCCCTGCGCAAGCTGCAGGAGGACCGGGCCAAGAAGGGCTTCAGCTGGGAGGAGACCCGCGACACCACTGTCATTTTGCTGCTGCTTCTCATCTTCATCACCATCGGCCTTCGCATGTAGGGGAGAGAGGAGGGAAGGGGAGCCTCCCCAGCCAGCCCCAAGAATATGGCCTCTGTTGAGAGCCCTAGCCACTGGCCTTCAAAGCCTACTTCTGCTGGGTGCGAAGGGACAGTGCCCTCATGCCCGCCCAGCCGATGACTTGCACATCCTTCCCCTTGGTCCATAGAAGGCGGCCCCAGGATGAAGTCCGGGAAACCCTCCGGAGCCTCTTGGGTGCCTGCTTTTGTTGCCTTCGTGTAGCCAACTTTCCGCACCCTTGCTTGGGCTTCATCATAAAGCCCTGAGCAAGATTTGCCTCTCCTGCCCCACATTTATTCTGGGGGTTCCTCTGTAACCTTGAAACGTGCAATATGGCCCGTGTTCGCTGCCAAAAGAAAAATTCTGGGGTTGTATGAGACTAGTCTTTCTGTGCATTGCCCCAAGTCACTGTAAGACTGAGCCAGGGTAAGAATGTGGGCTGTGGGAAGCTTGCCATTCCTCCAGGGGCTGCCCCACACCTCTCTTCTGTTGGCAACACTTGGCAGTGGGTGAACAGGGTCATCAAGTGTAAGGACTGCTCCTGTGTCCATGTTTATGGAGTGAGTGACCTTGGAGAAGTAATTCTATGCTGTGACTGCAGAGAAAGAAGTCATTTGCTTTCTTGAGGTCTGTCGTTGGCATATTATCCATAGTCCTAATCCACAGTGATTATAGCAGGATGCTGCTAGTGCCAGGTTCATCTTGGGACAGAGTGCCAGTCACCTACATGCCCCTTTACTGTCCATTGCTAACTATGCAGTCAGTCCCCTCTGAAATAGACTTGGAACTTGGGTCCTGAAATGTGGCCATTGCTCCTGCCAAATCCTTGAAACAGGGCTGCTGAGAGTTGTGGGAAACTTTGGGGGTTCAGAGTGCCCAGGACTACCCCAAGGACAGGATAGGAGGCTTACTGGTCAGTGTGGAGACTGGGTTTCTTATGCGGAGTTAGCTGAAGGTTGTTTTTGGATTTTCCTGTTCATGCTGAGCAGTTGGTCCAAGTCCCTTGGTCAGAGCCACAGTAGTTACAAGAGTCCCTTAACTCTGACTCACCACTGGTGGGGAGTGGGTCAGTTTTGAGATTGCAGGTGCTGGTGTTCACACACTGTAAAGCTGTAGAAGAAAACCCTGGCTAGAGATCTATGGTGAGGATGTGGGCCCAAGACTAGTGTCTAAAACAGGAAGGTGTTTTGGTACATTAATACCAATTGCTACTTTTGACGTTTTGTGTAAGATTTCTGTGTAAATCGGGATAAACCCAGCTGGCTGTGGTGCATGTCTGTAATTCCAACTATAAGGCTGAGGTAGGAGAATCACAAGTTCAGGACCAACCTGAGCAACTTAGTGAGATCTTGTCTCAAATTTTAAAAAATTAAAAGGGCTGAGGGTGTACCTTAGTAGAAGAGTATTTAGCATGCATGTATGAGGCCCTGGTTTCAATCCCCAGTACTGAAGGGGGAAAAAAAAAAAAAAAGAAAAAACCACCACTAGTCAAGCTTGGACCTGAAAACTGAAGAGTATTTAGCATGCATGTATGAGGCCCTGGTTTCAATCCCCAGTACTGAAGGGGGAAAAAAAAAAAAAAAGGATAAACCCACATCTAGTCCAGCTTGGACCCTTGGAAACCATTCGGTTCTCTGTCACCTTAGAGGTGGGGTAAGCTTCTAGCCACAGGCTTTGTAGTGACTGGGCAGAAAATAGGGTGCCTGAGTTCAGCTGCCCTCCCTAAAACTGAGTCTAGGCACTCCACGGCAAGGGAGAGATGTGGGAGGCTTTTTGAAAGACCCCATTGGTTTCCATGGTAACATTTCTCCCAAACTCCCACCTCACAGATTGTCCAGGTCTTTCCTTTCTCTGCCTGTTAGTAGCTCTGGTGAGAAGAACGTGAATTAAGCCAAACACATTAGACCTGTCTTCTGAGGCTGTTTCCTGTGCCCTGGTAGTGGTACAGGCTCCCGATCTGAGTCCTTTTTCATCTTTGGTTACAAAGCAAAACTCCACCCGGAATGGCAGATAAGGGCAAGAGGACACAGTGTACCCCAGACTCTGATGAAGTGGGGAAATAATGCAGGTACCAAGACTGCAAGAGCAGCAGACAAGGGCCCTAACTGGGGAAGACTCAGCCCACCAGAAAGAAATCTGGTGCATGTCCCTTGCCATTGTGATATTCTTCAGACTTCATCAGGATGTTCCTCCTGAGCCAAACTGCGTTGTCCCCTCACAGCTTCTTTATTGAATGCTGGGTAAAAATGATCCCTCATGGACCCCAGTCGTGAGAGAGCAGGATGTCTTCCTGCTTGCTCCCTTTTGAGCTTCTGGCTGTTATTCAATAGGTGCACCTCTGGCCTCTGTCGTGGCCCCAGTATGAGCCAGGACAATTGAGAACCACCTTTCTCAGGCCAAGGCGTTGTCTACTGGGTCTTGAGTGACCCAAGAGGCCCTGAGAGGCACTGAGTTAGTGGCCACAACACTCCCTTTTAGGAAATGGGAAGGGCTTGGCTCTGGAACCTTTAGGCTTCCTAGGTCACCAGACCTGAGAAAACAGGCTGAGAAAGGACACAAGAAGAGTGGGTTCTATCCTGGCCCTTGAACGCTGTCATCTCGTTGTCCCGGTGGTGAAGTCACATAGTGCCACCTGCCTGTGAGCAAGATCACGGGAAAGGCCTGCCTCATTGTCCTGCTCTGCTCACCCCTTGGAACTGGTTTGCCGTCCAGGTGAGGCCGTGTGTGGAACAGCTGAGAGACCCTCTAAATAGTTTAAAGCCGTGATGAGCTTGGAATCTGGACCTTGTGACCTTACTGACACCAGGAGCTCTGTGCCCCATCTCTCGTTCCGAGGTCACAGTGTCACTATGAGAGTCTCCCCATCACTGCCTCCTGACCTGCCCCAAGCTGGTTCCTGTTGCTAGTCTTGAGATGGGCTGCCTCTCCCCATCCGGCCTTTGTCCCTTCAGCAGTCACACACTTGGCCCTGCCTGGGAGGGGACTGCAGCATACACATGCAGGCCTGTTTCAGTGGGACCAAGAGCAGACAGATCAGGGCCTGGGCCACAACCCAACTCCAATGTTTGACCTGCACAGTGTCCTAAAACAACTTTTTAACTGACTTTGAAAACACAGGAGACTTTGCAGAAAAATACAGATTGCCAACTTCTCAAAAAATGGGAAAATCTGCCATCATTGAGATCAGGTAACTGCCTTACTGCCTTGGGGAAAGCATCATCGCCCTAAAGATGAGACATTGCTCCCCAGTGGTGGCACTTCCACCAGCTGGAAGCAGTGACATGGGAAGGACCCTAATTCACACATTTGTGCCATTTTCCAGTAGCAGAAAAATATTTCTCTACCCATGTGTATCAAGTGAAAACCAACAAAGACCATGCACTTCCCAAAAAGTTGATCTGGGAGCATTTCTTTGTGGAAACTGCTTAGCACCTCTGTGTCACCTTCCTGGCCCCTGTGGGCATTTGAGTTGGTGACAGATGCGCTGAGTATAAACCCTCAGGCCAGCAGGGCAGTGCTGGGACAGAGCCCAGGTCCTTGCACAGGTTAGAAAGCACGCTACCACAGAGCCACACCCCCGGCCCAAGTATAAATCTTATTTTCATTGTAGGCCAAGAAACATTTTTTTGAGGGGCCTACAGCAAGGGCAAGCAAGGGCTTAGGCAAGTCTGAGAGGTCCTTTGGTAGCATAACACCAGTTCCTCCAGCCAGGCTTTTGTGTAAAATCCTTGTATAAATTGAGACAGCCCTGCAGCAACATGTTCTGCAAATCCATCCAACTTGTTCTCTTGGAAACCATTAGGTTCTCTTGCCTTTGAGGTCAAGGGCAGGCTCTCAGGCAGGCTTTGCAAGGACCACACTACACTGGCTCAGGCCTGCTCAGCCCAGTGAGCCTTGCTTGGTAAAATGATGCATATTTCATGTTTCGTATTTGGAAAACAAGGAGGGAAATTTAGGAAATCATGGAGAAGCTAGTGATTCCCAAGAAAGAGGTGTATGTAACATTTTCTTGAGGGACAAAAACTTTTTAATTCAAAAGGGGTAGGAGTTTTATTATTTGGGGATGATTTCATTCAGGTTTGTAAAATCACGAGTGGCCTGTCATAGGACCTATCTCATGGGCCCTGCATGTCCACCCTCAACTTTATCTTGTCACAGAGGATCATTGCCAGAATTGTTTCCTG